ATCATACCGCCTGTGATGAACATGAGGGAAATAGGGATAGTTTATGTAATAAATGGAGCTCATCCTTTGCCGCAGCACAGGGACTAATTAATCCTTAAAATCTATAGTCTGTGAAATCAAATTAATATGAAATACCTTCTCCTTTGTGCAGATGACACTGACATTCTGTGTATTATTTTATTAAGTGTGGTACATTGTGAATTAAAATGAGCAAAAAAACATCCTGGTACTGCAAGACTTGATTTTATAGACAATTCAACATCAAAATAAACTAGTTGTTTGAGTTGGATTTCTAACATTTATTAATAGATTTTCTTTGTCTGTTACTGAACACAACAATGAAAAGGCTTCAAACTTGTGACGATAGCGGGACCTTGAGAAAGAAACTCGGATTAACCCTGTAATTTAACTGAGGAAAATCGAAAACTGACTCTCCCTCACTGATCAGGATAAACCACCTCCTCATTATTTCAACTCACACACAGGTAGCAATGCGGTAAACTCACCAATAAAGCTGGCGACACAAACACAAACAAAAGAATATAGATGCACACTATACAATCAATACACTTAGCAAAGGTCTCACACATGCAGACGTTCAAATACAACAGTCCATGCAATGTGCAGTAACACCAAGACACATGAGGGAAACTAATAAGTGTAATATAGTGTCACTTGAAAGAGTTTCTGTCGGTCCCCCCTCTTTCAGTCTGCTTAGTTCTAATGGGTGCAGCAAGTTTGAGAGAAGTGGAATTTGAGTCAGGGAGGGGTGGTGAGTCATTCGCCTCTCAGCCAGTCACATCACTGGTGACAGCAGAGCATGATTAAAAAGGGATCATCAAAAGCAAATGAAAGATGGTTTCTCCATGTGTAAAAATGTTTGGACGGCTTTCGGAATTGGTCTTTTAAGTTTAAAATCTTTGACGAGCATGTCATGGTTTCTGATCATGAAGTCGCCTTGTTTTATTTTGCTCCACAGTAATCTACATAAAAGTATTACTGTATATCTTGAGGTACAATTTGAGGGGGTCCTTTGGAACTTAGGTCACCAAGAGTAGAGTGAAGAGGCCCCCTGGGGGTTGAACAGGACCACCAGAGCCACCAGGGTTTGACCAGGGTCTCCAGAAACACGGTACATCAGGTTTAGATTTAGTTTTTATCCAGATAAAGTTTTGTGACAGAAGCTGTCTCTAGGACATCAACCAAGACCCGGGCAAGGTCTTCAAGTCAGATCTGACAGAGCTAAAGAAGATCAGGGCTTCCATGAACATTCAAGGCCTGGATCTATCAACATGGTACCCTAACACAGACTCTATGATCCCTGCTGATATTCAGGCTTCAAAAGGAAGATCAATCACGTTTTCGAAAGGTGGCTCAGACCCCCCCCCCAAAAAAAAGCCTAGCCAGCATCACCGGGTAAAAGAACAAGCCCTGGCTACCCTTTAGCAGATTGACTGAGGAGTTCTCGGTTGCCCACCAAAGGGGGTTGCTGCATAGAGACTATTCAGACATAAAACACTTTGGAGATCGCTTCGAGGGCAGAACAGGAAGTTAAGTTGGACTTGCTTGACAAAGTCATGGCTGCATGCTGGCTCTATCAGTGGCATCTGTTCAGAGGTCTGTGCTACGCTATTTATTTTCTTTTTTACGTGTTTAGTCCGACACATGTAGATCCATTTCTTTTGTCTTGAGTTCAGTGAGTGTGAAACTGGATCTTCGAGCCACTGTCTGGACTGAGTTTGGCTGAATATAGCCACGTCAAGACATCCGTAACATCTCTCCTTTCATTTATCTAAGGTAATGACCTTTTCAACCACGGGTCTCTATTAGGAGATGTTCCATAATGACTGTTCCAACATGATGAAAGCACCATAATGATAGAGCTGCAATGCTCATGTGATATTTAGGATCTGACACATTAGACAAAGGTCTAAAAAGGTCCATTTGTTTCTCCTCACCACTTCTCTGCAGTAACTGGTGAGCAGGACATTAATATCATGAAATACCTGAGATTTCTCACATGCTACACCAGTGACAGATATTTAAACTTGTTTTTAAGTGAAGTAACTTAAGATGTAGACTTCAAGCCCTTTGCTTCTCTCTCTGGGATTTTGGAAATATTTGGGAAAGTTTATCGTGAATGGATCTGAACTTCCCAGTTCATTTCTTGCGCGCTTCAAATCATTGTTAAAAGCACATCTCTTCTCTTTGCCCTACTTTTCGAGTCGAGAAAGTTTTTATCCCAGCAGATTTCTATTTTTTATCATTAGTATTTTTGATATATTATGTATTGCTGTTTTCTTTTTGTACCTTTTACTGTGTAAAGCAACCAAGTTTTTTTGAATGTACTTTAGAAATAAAATTGACAAATGCTGTTAGTACAAAGTACAAGCTTGCTTATTGGCCTGTTTGCAGGTTCATGTCTATATGTTACTGCTGACAACAACAAATTGATATTTTAAATTTTTTTTTACCTCCACCAAGGGGGTTATGTGATCGCTCTTAGACCTGATCATATTTTGGTGAAGGTCTGGTGGATCTTGAGTGACATGATGGTTTGTTCCCAGCATCTCTGAAGGTTTCAGTTACATCACTGTGTTACCAGATCTCAGTTTTTAACTTGCAATATGTTTTTAACTTGCAATATGATCATTACTGAGAGGAATGCTGGTCAAAACTAGAGAAACTAGACCCAAGTTGTGGATGTGGTAGCAGACTGACTGTGCAGCTGGAGCGGCTACATGAACAGTAACAAGCACATTTTAATGAGTGTTCTAGCACCGTGAAAACTTAGGATGTTTAGATTTTCTTGGGATTTGAAAAGACTAAGGGGGTGTTTTTTGTTTTTTTTACCTGATGCTTAAAACATGTTTTTTTGTGTATCTGTGTGTGTTTAGTGTGTAATGCATTAGCTGTTCTGTTTGTGTGTGGGTGTTTTTGGTGCATGTGTGTGTGGGTGTGTGCTTGGGGAATATAAAGCAGGATTTCATGCTGGTAGGACATTTAGAGCCTTCAATAACAGACGTCTTCAGCTGCCAGTCTCAAAGCTTTGTTGTCAGGTGTTACCTTTCTATCAGAATCCACCACTGGATTCAGAGACAGGAAGCTTCATTCAGGAGCTTCACAAAATGAATGTTTCTCTCCATGCTCAATGATGTTGCCCACACGTTTTGCAGAAAAACAATCTTTGGGGATACTTTGTCCACATTATTTTACGTTATTATATATTGTCTTGTTTGCTAACTACAAAAACAATATACGGACACTAAACTAACCATTTTAAGGCCCTTTCAGATAGAAAGCAGTTTCGGCCAAGGCATTCAGCGCACAGCCCTATGCTTGCTGTGGCAAGGTTTTTTCCGTTTACACATTTTCCCTATCTACAACAAACTGTTAAAACCCACTTGACCTGCAGACTTGACTTAAAACATTGTTTAAAAATGTGTTGAGTGTGGATAAAGCCTACCTAATCTCTATAAACAGATTAATTTGTTCTCAGATGATAGCTGATTGCATCCGAGACTGTATCCCCAACAAATGAGCCAGCCAGGTCGGGTCTGTCAAACTGGCTGGGCTGAATAACCATGCATGTCAGGGACAGGGAAACACAAAGTTTAACATCACATAGCAAAAAAAACTTTATCTGAAAGGGCCTTAAGTCAAATGTTTCTGCTGTAGTGAATTGTTTTTTGTGCATATTTATTTAGCTGTAGTTTTAATGATAAAATTATTCAAGTAGAATTGTTGGTTCGATATTGTTGAGTCAATTTTATATTTTTTATCTCCTTCAGTCTGCATGATGTGGAGAAACAAAGCTCTGCATGAATATGTGAATAGCACTGCAAAGCACTTTAAGACTAGAAGAGACCAACACTATATAAATACAGTCAATTTACCATTTAGCTAATGAGAGTGAGGTATACAGCATCTGTTAAACACTAATGCGCTGCTTTGACCCTATTGAGTTGTTTCATCTGTGACTGGTCAGATTGTTCAGTATTTAACCCGACTGCTTTCTGTTTTCTGTTATGTACATACAGTCCATTTAATATCCTATTACATTAAACTTTGACAGTGTATTTATTATTAAACTATTATACAATTTCTGAAATTAAAATATTTCTATTACACTAATAATATATACTCATACTTTTGTCTGTATACAGTCTTTACAGTTACAGCGGCACAGTGGCAATGCTATATACTGAACTTCCCGAATTATTCACAGTAACCATATGGAGACAACTACATCACTGACCACTGTTTTATTCTATCTGCTATTACGTTTAATCTGTTTATTACTTTTATGTCTACGCAACACACACACTCACACCTCTGCAGCCTTTATCTGTTTTTATATCATGTATGAGGTTGAACTGTTTTTGCACTTTGGTCTGTGAGGACATTATATCAAAGTTGACTTATATTTATACAGATATATCTTTTTTATTTCTATTGTATTTGTTTATTCTCTTTGCTTAATGATTAACTTAGTTTGAATTGTTTCCACTTTGTTACCTTGCATTTTGTATCTGGTTTTACAAAGTCTTCTTTTGGCATTTCATTATTTCAACTTTTTATCTGTTTTGTTTACCTGACTTTGGTGTTCTCTCATTTGAATTTCATGAGATGTACAATAGAGTTTCCTCCCTTTCTATTCTGGATTTATGGATGGATGTGGGTGGGTAGAGGGGTGGCGTCGTTATTATTGCTTTTATCCTGTAAAGCACTTTGTGTTGCACTGTTTGTATGAAAAGTGCAACAGGAATAGTCTGACTGATTGATGTGCTCCCTCTGATATCCACTTCGAAAAATGTCTGTTCTGTGTGTTTAACTTTATTTTCATCTCCTTGTCTGTGATTGTCGAAGCTGCAGAAAATAGTGACTGACTGTTGTGATCAATGTTGTAATCAGAAGTGTGAGTGGTAGCTGTTAGTTTCCCGTGTGCCTCTGAGCCAAACAAAAACCACACTGCGAACTCCAAACGTACAACTACCAACCTGTGGTCCCAAGCACCTACAGGGAGGATGGACAGAGCAGAAGTCCTAGAGAAGACGACACAAGTGTAGGAGGATAGAAAGTAGAATAGGCCAGATATTAAGAGAGTTAGGGTTCACACTCACATACACACACACACACACACACAACTTAATTGGTTTGGCTTCCAATTAATAAAACAAAGTTTTCCATGCTTCTTCTCTTCTTGGTGTCACTGCGTTTTTTCTTTTCTTTCAATGACACAGAACCATGACCTTTTCATCTCATTCCACTCTAACTCCCTCCCCTCTCCGTCTTACCTCCTGCAAGCGCTGGATGTGTTCTCGGCAGGTTTCTAAGTCACTGTCACCAGGAACCACGATCAGGCCCAGAGGAATGGCTGGAGAATACAGAGGAACAAGACAATTATCCAGCAGCACTTTGACTTCACACGGTCCAGCCCGGAGAGCACGGCGACTTTTTACTCTGCTTTGACGGAGACACGGGACTCCAGATGTAATTAAATAAATGATGGTTGGGGCAACCAGCAGCACAGAGGGCCAAAAAAATACTAAAAATTACCAACAACGACACGTCAACTGATATTCAATCTTGCTTCATCAAATGATGCAGGACACAGAAACACAGCAGTGTTATGGTTGAACATTTTCTCTTTGTGAAAGAAAGAAAGAAACAGCTGATAAGGTCAGAACCAGAGCAACTCAATGCCCAGGGGCAAATTACAAGTCAAGGTGGATTCAATGGTCTTTAAAAAGGGTGATGATGCAGCTGTGGAGCTTAGTGTACGCAACAGTGTTGATCATGTGCACGTCCTCATGTCCCTGCTGCTACAGAGACTCCACAGGACTCTGCTGCTGCTGTTGGCACAGGTTGTTTTCTCTTTTCAATGCCGGTGAATCGATCGGCTGCTTTTCACCAGCACAACAAAGACGTCTCTGCTGCCACCATCACTGCTCAGCATCACAGCCAATACAGGAACTTAACATGGTCTTCCAATTCATATAGCTGTAAAACTGCAGCTCTGGAAGAGCCAGGTTGATGTTGGCGCGGCTGTCTTTTATTTTACCAAATGAGCCTGACTAAGCTGGCTCGTCATCAATGAGCCAACGTAGGTCGCTGGAACAATGGAGGCCGCGTTCCCTGAGGAAGTGCGGGCCGGCCGTCCGCCCGACGCACCGACGCACCGCTGCTGGCTGAGCATCACACGGCTCATTGTGCTGGAAGAGCTGTCAAATCGAGCGAGGAGATCCTGAACCCACACACAGACGCATTCACACACCTCTCACTGATACTAAATACCTTTGTGAGGAAAACAAAGGCTCCACTAGGAGTAAACAACAGGAGCGTCATGAACAGAAAACCAGTCAGATTCTAGTGTCGCTTGTTTGCTTTTTTCTTAATTCAAAGATTTGAAACTGTGAACGGAGCAGAGCAACGTTTCCTTATTTAAACAAGGAAAAATGAATTATAAATTCAGATATTCCCAGAATGTGCAATAAAACTCTGTACATACAGTTTACCAGGAACACATGCAGGTCAGTTTAATACAACCTGTAATAAATCCTCCTTCATTCAGGTTACAATGGCCAGTCTGTCCTCATTTGTGTAATGGAACCAAAGGCAACACACACTAGTGATCACACAGTTAAACCAAATGCAAACTGAACATTATAATCTCCATGACAGAGGATTTACTTTGACAGTAAGCTGATGATTTATGGACTTAACCAAACCTGTGTATATTTAGGATGATAAAGACTGAGTATGATACAGATCAGGGTATCTTCCCTTTGACAGTGGAAACTCAATGATACTTTAACTTAGAAGAAGAAAAGCAGATTCGTCCAACTTCTTGTATAAAACAAGTTTAATTTTGTCCCTTGTATTTCAAACTGTCAAATAAAATACATGTTTATTTGTGGTTGTTTACAAGTCAGTGGTTGACAACTAGGTCAGTTATGCGGAGAAGAAGCTTTATATCAAGTCAATTTAAAGATATCTAATAGTTCTGTATTTGTGTGTGTGACTTCTCTCTTTTTCCTTTTTATAAATGTAACACCGTATGTATATTATATTTTTCATTTTCATGTCAATTGGTATGTCATGAAGACATGTATACATTTATATTACTTTATTACTAAGACAGTCCTGCTACAGCATTTAGAATTTATATGTCTTTCATTTTATTCACTGGCCCTCTCATCAGAAATCTGACATCGGCTTCTTTTGTCCTTTAAAAATCTCTAAGTGACTGAAAATCAGAAATCCGGGTTTGTTGTAAAAAAAAAAAAAAAGAGTCCTAGTTGGTTGTTAAATTGTTAATAAACCTCTTACATGATAAGAAAATTGTACTTCTGACAGGTTTAATCCAAATCCTTGTCAATAAAGAGTTTATATAATCGCTTCATGTTCAGGACGGAGCGCAGTGAGAGATTCGGCTTTGAGACAGCAGAACAGCTTGGCCTCGGGGCAAGAGACATATTTTTACCATCTCCCCGAGTGCTGCACATCCACCAGTTGAGAGCAGTGATTGATTTGCATAATGGAGGGGCAAACTTCAAAGAGTTAGAACAAAGGATGAGCCTCAAAAAAGATAAAAATTGTTAAGAGCTGATCGGGGGAAAAAAAGCATTTTGGAATTAAAAAACAAAACATGTGATTTTAAATTATTAATGTAAATTAGGGTGAGATATGTATCCATATATATTTATTTCAACCACAGATAACGTAGGCTTAAGTCCCAGGATAGATGATGTGCAAAACAGAGAAACAAAAATAACAATGTCTACTTTACCAGTATTATAAAACATGCTGTTTAGAGTATTGTAAAAGGAAATAGTGCCACCCTGTGTCAACACTCTGAACACAACCTGACTGTGTGTCAGTGTGTGTGCTGCTGCAACACCAGCTGAGTGCAACTGTTCCTAATGAGAGACAGGGAGCTTTCATCTGCTTTATTCCTCAAACAACAGCCGGTGAGCGTGTGTGCGAGCGTGCGTGAGTGAAGAGGATGGAGGGACAGCTGAAAATGATCTCGTTGACCTTCACATCACTGCTCCACCCTCCAATCATTCCCCACTTGAAGCTGAAGATGCTGCCGTCACTCAGGCAGCTCCACGTCTGACTCGGCGGCACAAAGCTTTTCCACAAACTGACGAGCAACACGCAGCCGAGTGTGAAGCATGTGATGACACATTCGTCTTTTCACATCTAAAATCTGAGACTGAGAGCGATCCACACCACACAGCATTGTTGTGTGTTTAAGCCTACTGCTTTTTGTTTTTGTTCCGAATAAATCTTTCTTGTTAAGATTTAAATATCATTAAATATCATGTTTGTGTCTACACATATCTATGTGGAAGTTATTATGCATACTTCATATTCAACAGTCATAAATAAAGATAACACAATTCTTCAAGATGGATTTTGGCTTTTCACAATAAGATACAACATTAAGACACATTCAGTGGTTCCTGTAGGATTCTCTTTAGCATGTGTCTTGCGTGTAGACTTTTTTCTTCAGGTTTTTATTCCAAGTGTGTTTAAAAAAATACAACCCATATTGATCCTTGGCAGCACTGTGTACATGGACGTGAGCGGGTGTGTGTGTCCTTACATGCTTGCCGTAGTTTGTCCTTGTCGTAGTGCAGAACCTCATAGTCGGTCATACTGATCCTGCTGACTCGGATCCTCAGCCTCTCTGGGACCGGCTGCTGACTGACACACAAACAGCAACACAACAGGGTCACCAAAATGACATATTTTTCATAGATAGATGGAGATACAGTGTGTGTGTGTGTGTGTGTGTGTGTGTGTGTGTGTGTGTGTGTGTGTGTGTGTGTGTGCGTGTGTGTGTGTGCGTGCGTGTGTGTGTGAAGGGGGTTCTTACTCATTAAAGTGTGGCAGTGAGGTCCGTCGTTTGGTTTTCTGGACCATGTTGGCCTGGTTCCTGAGGCTGATGTGGATGACAGAGGGAGCAAGTCTGCATGGTTCACCGTCCACCTAAACATAATAAATACCAACCGATCAATCAATAGCATCATAATCATAATGGTCACTATCATTAATATAACAGGGTTGTCAGTGGACCCCTGCTCAGTGTGTGTAACGGTCTGTGTACCTGTACTGGGAGAGGCTTAGTGGTGGTGAGCGTAACTTCTCTACACTGGTTCAACCTCTCGCCATGGCCACCAACCTGGAGAGTAGCCTACACACACACACACACACACACACACACAAATGATTATTTATTACATACTACATATTTTAATTTATAAACTTCTGATGCTTTAAATCTCTGGCTCCATCTGTCTGACTGTGTCATTGTGACATTTAAGAGCACAGCATCTGTTTTTCTGAAAGATAAATCCTGTGTTATTTCAAACCACAACTCACTGCTGTTCTTTCCAAAATTTCTCAAAAACTTGTCTGGCCATCTGGAGGGAAAATTATTCCTCCCACTGCGCAGCAAGTATGACTTTTTTTTTTTCATGTTTTCCAAGTTGGGAAAGAAAATATTGCAACTTTGGCCACTTTAGGGGAGATTTTGAGAATAAAGACGTAATATTAGGGGAAAGGTTGTCAATTTACAAGAAAAAAGTCATATCACAAGAATAAAGTCGTAAATAAAAATATAGAATAAAATAAGGAAAATATATCATAATATTAAGAGAATAAAGACAAAAATTGGAACCAATGACAACCTTACAAAAGAGACGATTAAATCCAAGTCTGTGTTGTCAGAATAGACTCGGTTTCTTGCATACTCTCTGTAATATAACCACTTTTTTCTCATGATATGTCTTCATTTTCGAAATTAAGAATTCTTTTTTAAACTTTTAAGTGGCCCTATGACAAAAAGACTTTTGAATTTTTGAATCAAGAAAGAAGATACGTCAGTTCTGACCAACATCAAATTCTTTTTAGGTTCTGACGATGCAAACAGCGATGTCATCATGTTACATGTCATCATAAAGTTGCATCACATTAAACAGTATATTAATACAACATATGTTGCCCTTATGGGCCCTTGTTACCACGGCTACCATGTCACATCGAGAGCTCCGTACCAGTGAAGTCATGGTGAATCCAATGACCTCGATGTATCCGTCGTCATGGCGCTGAGGTTCAAAGTCATGATGCTCACTGGGATTTCCCCAAGGTGTTGTGCCCGCACAGTACCTGAAGTTAACACACACACAAACACACACAAACACACACACACACACACAAGACTCCATCATAAGTATCGCTGACTGAAATTCACACACATTCATTCCTTCCCCAGAATGAGTTTGCTTTTCACCTTTAAGAGTTGAATGGTATAAAGTAAGTAAAGCACTGACTGACCTGGGGATGTTGAGGAAGACCAGACACTGCAGCTTCAAGTCCTGAACCTTCGATGTTAAATCAGTCCCATCACACTGAAGACAGAGAGAGACAATTAGAGAGACAGACAGACAGAGAGGGAAAGAGACACAGAGCAGAGAGAAAGTGACTCAGTGTTTCAGACCGACAGCTACGTACTTGATTGACAGCTACTCACCACCACTTTGATATGCCTAGACAGGTCTTTGGAGCTTCCCATCAAGAAATCTGAGAACGCTGTCTGTGTGAGAGACAGACAGACAGACAGGTAAGCAGGCAGGCGGACGAGCAGGGTTCTCTCAGAGGACTGCATCATTAAATAAAGCCACAGTTGGATGCGGTTATCTTCCACCGCCTCCGGGCAAAGTCACAGACACAATGTGTTCCCAAACTACAACTGTCACCACAGCAGAGTTATCGTGTAGCTCTGCATCTTTCAGCAACACACTGGTAACACTGGTCTTTAGTCGAGAGTTTAACTTTTAGAACATGTCGGTGGCACAGGTGCTACAACAATAGGACACTAACACTGGAAGTTCCTCACGCTGCTGGATTTGCTTTACAGTTTTCTCAATTGCTTTGACACAGATGTTGTGTGGAAAGAGAGAGAAACAGTTCTCAGATCTACAAATATCTGCACTTCAGACATTAGTTATCATTTTACTTCATGTATTCAGAATGATGTATAAATGCAGATCGTCTTGTCGTGGGGCTGGGGCCTCCTTGAGCCAACCAGTCTGAAATTCCATTAAGGTGCCTCCGGGTCAAATTCGTGAACCCCTTTAATTAATTGTTGGATACTGGCAGACATACAGAGGATGCCATATTTACAACATTGATCTTTAACATGAACTCACCCCAGCATAGAACATCTTATTCCTAAATCGACTGTTGAACTTTTCTGGGTTTGCCTCTGAAACAATGACAGACAAGAGTAAATCACTTGATAAATATACTTCACAATTTTAAATGAGAAATGTTACTATAATGTTTACACATCAGTAATAATGTGGACAGGGTACCTCTGGATTCATGGAACTCTAGAGTCACATGAGCATCGAATCCAAGACTGAAGTAATTGTTGAAAACATCTAGAGGAAGCTGAGAGGACACACACACACACACACACACACACACACACACACACACGATATGTGTGGGTTAAAAATCCCATCTTGCCATAGTGTAAAGTGCTTGTCAAGAAAATATTGTGGTTTGCTAGTGGCACTGACACACTGACACTTCCAGGTTCATGACAAAAGTTTATTTTTCTCTCCCAGCTGTAAAAATACATTTTTCACATTAATGTGTGAGCGGAGCCAACAGGAAGCCAGAGGCGGCCTCAACCAGCTCACCTGCTAGAGGACGACAGTGCAAATGCTTTCTGGGTCAAAAAATTAAGATATTTTTGGGCATAAACTCAGCGAGCAACTTTTATAGGAAAGAATGGACACTATCTATATACACACACAATTTTGAAACTAAATCCTTACACAGAAACATGTGCACGTAGAAACCTAAGATACAGATAAAGACAGTTTCAGACTCCGTGCTGTACGTGCACCGACCTTATCAGTTTGTTGTTCGTCCAGTTCCGCCGCTGCGCTGAGGTTTGGTTCCACCTGCAGATTCCACCTGTCGAGCTGGACAACAGTGCCATCCTCAACATGGGACAGGATCTTAGACAGAGGTTCGTCTGTATAGCCCTGGAAAAGACACACACACACACACACACAAGGTTATTTATGACATATGAAACAGGTGAAAGTGAGGTGAACGTTGGACGGTGAAAAGAAAATCAGACTTCCAGCAGCAGGTGACTGGACTCATATATTCCTCATATAGTTAAGTTGTGTGCGGGTTGTGTTTGTCAGTTTTGTACGCACCCCTCCCCAGTTGAGGGTCCTAGCGAGGTCATTTCCTGTCCCCAGTGGTAACACGGCAACAGGAGGCTGAGGGTTTAATGCCAGCTCGTCGAGACAAGACAGGATCCAGCCCACCTGGTTTAAACATGCTCTTTTAATTCACAGTACACCTGTTTTCTCCTTTTCTCTTTTTAATTTCGTGTGTGTGTGTGTGTGTGTGTAAGTGTGTGTGCAAGCGTTACTCACAGTGCCATCTCCTCCACAGGCCATGATCCTCAGGTTGTGGACTTTACGATACAGCTCCAGGCTACAAGATAATTAAATGGTCTGTATTTTTTTAGCACTTGTCGAGTCTTGATGACCAATATTTTTCCCATTCACACACACATTCATTCAGTGCCTCCGTGGACCGCACTTTTTCTGTGAGGTAATTTGGGGGACACTTCAGCATTGGGAATGGGAAAGACGGGGATCAAACCGCCGACCTTCTGGTTAGGGAACGACCCGCTCTACCCACTGAGCACCTTTACAGATTGCACACAGATATACACAATCTCACATGGATATACATGAGTGCAAATCGCACACAGGGAGCTCTGCAGTGGGTAATTTTTCTATTACAATTCTAAGTTATGCAGAGTTTTAAAAGTGTGTGTGTGTGTGTGTGTGTGTGTGTGTGAGAGAGACCTACCCCTCCTTTGGTCCTCCTTGGCTCAGGTCAAACACCTGTCTTGGGTTCAGATACCACATGAAGGACTGCATGATCTTAGTTCCCTGTGAGACAGATAAACACACATGACATCAAACATGACACTGAACTAACTAAACAGTCCAATGAAGGGAGGAGATGAATGTCTAAGGCTGGATCATCACTTCAGTGGGACAGAGTCTGTCATCCTCTGACAATAAAGTTGTTCTTCATACAACTTGTGTTGCTACAGTTTTGACCTCTCGTCCTTCATGTCATTAACACATACACATGCTCTCACACTCTGTCCTGGAGAACATCCAGTCATTATGACTCGACGACTGTAACTCCCTCCTCTCAGATAGAAATCAAAAGCTGCCTCCAGCTCGTTCAGAATGCAGCATCGGCTTTAAAGATGACATATCAGCCCAATCCTCGCTTCCTTCCATAATTGACTCCCTGTCTGGTTTAGAATTGATTTTAAGATTTTACTCTTCGTCTTCGTCTGGCATCAGGACCCTTCGGCTTTGACACGACCTGCCTGAGGAAATGAGGCTTGCGTATTCTTTAAAATCACTTAAAACACACTTTACAGGCTTGGCTTTCTGTGATGTCATCTTATATATCTCTTTCTTGCTTTTATTCTTTTTATTTCCAACATGAATACCTGGTTTCCTCCACTCTTGGGGTTGACAAACACCAGCAGAGGCGTCATCAGTGTTGAGGGGATGGGTCGGATAATAAACGGCCTCCACATACGTCCTTCCTGTCAGAACAAAGGATAATCTGCTCAGAGACTCTGCGACAGAATATCAGTCTAACCTGCAACTGGTGTCCAAGCCAAACATTGAACCCTCTGTCATCTGCAGTTCTGTGCAAATTACCAGCAACACATACAGTAGAAAAACAGCTTCACGCACAACTTAAAGGTTCAGTGTGTAAGATTTAGGTGGAGCAGATCTGTTGGCAGAAATGTCATATAAAATAATCTTAGTGATGTTTTCACCATCATCATCTTTATATTTAAATACTTTATATTTACATGGGTCGTAAGGATCTGTTGTTCGGTGGCAGAGACAGAGACACAGTCATCTCATCACACAGTGCAACACTGACCTCTGCTCCTTTCTTGCTGCTTTTCCTCTTGAACGACGTTCTCTTCTTCTTCTTACTCGACTTCATAGACGACTGTTGGAGACAGTGGAGACAGAGACACTGGCTGAAACACATCCACGTCCTTTTGATCATCACACACTGAGGTCAGTAAAACATCATATGACACTGAACACCTCGCTGGAGTCTGCCTGATGCCTTCCATGAGGTACTTAAAATTCTACTAAGTTGCAGTTGAAAGAGAAATACCTGTCTTCACATCTAAAGGACTCTAACAAGATGCAGTTTCTATTCCTCTTCTGTTTTCAGAACATAAATGAACAAGGACATTTTTCAGGACTAAACCAACAATTTCCACTGCTCTATAATAGAAACGTTATTAAGTTAGTAAAGTGTATTTGTATAGCACTTTTCAACACGAATGCAAAGAAAACAAACACACACATTCACACACACACACACACACTAAAAATAATATAGTGTGTCTTAAACTGTTTTGAGAAATGATTCCACAGAACCATGTATAAATGTGAAACAAGACAATCGCTGTTTCTGAGTCTTGTAATGACTAAACAGATTGACTGACGGCAATGTTACCTGATTGCGTCGGACCCGGATGATCCATGTGGGCGGAACAATGAGGGCAGCGTGAGCTCCGATTGGACAATCCTCCTCAATTTGTTGCAGCATGAAGCAGGAAACTTTGTTGTGGTACTGTAGGGAAACACAAAATACAAACAGATTTATTTATTAATGGAAATTCCATCATTTGGGTTATGAAAATGATGGTTGAGCTTAAGTTAAGTGCCAGGGTTTTATCTCAGGGAATACTAACTCATACTCACAGCCTGTTTGCACCAGGAGCAGCTGATGGCAACGATCTCTTTACTGTGAAAAGCAAACTTTTGCTGGAAGCCCTGCCAATAAAAACAAGAAGAGAAGTTCTGCTGCTCTGCTACTGACAAACCTTTGGGAATCGACGAGTAGATCAATAATCAAAGCGAGACAGGTGTAATATGTTGCCAGACTCTTAGCAAAGATCCAGAAAGAACTTCAGTCTTTTATTGGAAAAAAAAATTACATTTAGTGGACATTTCGTGGACTGTCACAGTTGCTGCGTAATATTAAATTGAAGCCACTGCTGCACATTTAAATACCGGGCCCACGCCGTAATGTTTTTACCAAAGCAAGATAAGCAACAGTTGCTGCTCAAAACACGAATCCTCTCAGAATGACCACCTACCTTCCCACATTGTTTACATTTGCCTTCTTGCCGTCTCCGATGCACCCAGTGATGACGCACCACAATGGGCTGAACACAGAAATGACAAATACAAAAGCTAATTTAGGATAAGACAACAACAACAATGTAAAAAAAGAGAAATGTTCTGATGCCAGACAACAAGAAAGTCAAGAACTCACCTCTCGAATGTTCCTAGAGCCTGATTCTCTGAAAGATGGTTTACACCTGAAATTTATCTGAAGAGGAAGAGCAGAGCGAGGCCGGCAGGTGTGAGAACATGGATGATAACTGGGCTTGTGAATCTGCTGAAAGGACCACAGTAGAAACTGAAAAAACTGAAATCTGCTATCCCACGGATGCACCAGTATGATTGCAATGATTTCAAGTGATCTTTGTCAGGTATGACGTGTTTGAGGAGGAAGAGGTCAAAGAGAAAATGACGTGTGGCTCTGTGGCAAAGAGGCAGGCTCCATGATCCCCAGTAATAAAGAGTGCACGGAAAAGAAGAACCAGAGGAGGTGTTTCTCATATCCAACAAAGTTTTTATACAGCCCTTTTCCAGGTTTATCTGCCAGTCAAAACATTTTACAGTCAGTTACATTCATCTGATCACACACTGCTGCTAAAAGGGCACTTTTTTCCCATCACACCATTTGTACACTGTCGGCTCAGCCGTCAGGGGAAATTTGGGGTTCTGGAGGAGATGGGATCGAACGTCTGGTAAGTTGACAACCCTCTCTACCTCCTTATCCACAGCTGCCCATTGATCACTCACACGATTAATGTGATCACGAGGGAAACAGCTCACAGCACCAGAGACTTCACCGAAATGATCTGAAATGTGTCAGACTTGAATATACTTGATATATATTGAATAATATTTCCACACAGTAATTACAAACAGGGAGTTTTAGCCTGTAATGCTTCCCATGAAAAACCAATCAACACTGCACAGAGGGAAGTGTTTTATTGCTCTGTTTAATACTAATTGTAAAGAGGATGTAACCATGGTGATCAAATGGGTTTACACAGGCTGCTGCCTCTCTCCTTTCAAATTAAAAATATCATCTGTGTACAGTGGTTCCATTAAGTTTTCCAACTGCTTCACTTTTATGTGATGTTAGTTGTTTGTCCATCAATCGGATCGCCATGACAAAGTGAAAACATGTTTTTAGAAACGTGAATCTCTCATTGCCAAACGTATTCTTAATAATAAGTAAGCAAGGCGAGTGGTGTAACAGTTGCTGATTATTTATTTCAAAAAATACCCAAGTGTCTTTAACAATTACTACATGAAAAGTAAGTAGTCATTAAAGAAAGTTACTTTTGACTTATTTAATTTAATGAGAAAACGCTCTGGTTACTTGTGACACCAAAGAGTCAGGTGATGATTGCATTTGTCTGCTTTAATCATTACATTTCAGTAGTTGTAAGTATGATACCTAATCTAAAAAGGTTAATTAATTATTAGTTAGTTAATTATTAACTATTAGTTATTCCCAAAAGCAATGACGTTACAGTGACGACTTTATCCCTACACTGGTCACAGGGACGGTGTGGTGGTGGAAAAGGAAGACAAGAGGTCGAAGGTCATGAACCAGGAGTCAGAGGATGTGTAATTAATCAATTACCAATATGGCTGCACTCCAGTTAAATGAGAGGGTTTCAAGGTTTGATATTATATCTGCTATGATACGCCTGTTTTAAGTCTCTAGTCTCTCTGGGGGGACAAACCATAAACCTCCTCATCACTGATGTGCAAGTGCCACAAAGACTAACACTTCTGGTCTGAACCCACGCAGCAGCTTCACAAATGTCACGCAACTTGATTTAAAGTCAAGGTCACTGGAAACATAGATTAGCCTCCTTGGTGATGTTAAAATAAATTCTTTGTGCAATTTTTGTGAAATACTTTGCAAGTGTTGCTCTCTCCATCTCCCAGCATGTAGAGACACAGGTACAGGCAGCATGATTCCAACCAGCACTGTCGTTAAAAGTGACACAACTGCGAACATCTCGTGTGTTTAAATTCAACCTTCGTCATTATGATGCGTCACCATCTCAAGAGTCAACTGTCTCCTATTCTATTCAAATGTCCAATTTCTCTGTGTAAACCTTAAAAATCATCCAAACCACATGTCCATAGCATGTACACGTCTTTCTGCTAACTATCCCACAATGCAACGTGTCACATTATAAGGGTACAACAATTACAGCCATCAAACTCTGTAGCTGTCAATGATGACACAAAATAATGATGAATTGGTTAAAGTTTCCAACCTGATGAAGACTTTGAATCGCCGCATATACGTTCTCTGTGTTTTTCATCTGCATGACCAGTCCTGTTGCCTCCACCATGATTTCATTAAATATCATAAAGCTCCCAGAGATCTCCTCCACCCTTATGGAGCACTGGAGGCAGCGTCGGATGCAGCAGAAGTTGGGAAAAGCTAAAGTTTTCAAGCATCAGCACAGATGGTTTCCTGTGTCCTTCCCTTCAGCATTGCAAGGGACAGCACGTTAACATGAGACCCAGCTATGTTGTGTGTTCTGAGTGGGAAACCCTGATCGATTGTTGTTATGATGATCACACCAGCACCAAGCATGGGGCAAAGACCCAGCCATCTTTAAACCAATATGTTTGTGTGAGTGCTGCATTAAACCAACAGAGAGAATAATTGAACCGCTTTGATCAACAAGAAAATTAGATGTAGAAACAAAGATTAGACTTAAAAATCTAAAAATCAAGAAAAAAGTTGTTCAGAGGGTGTGTCCAACCTTGATAAAATTCCAATTCAATTCACTCATTTTAAAAGTGGATTAGATTCTTTACAGAATAATTATTATCTGTGTTGAAGACATTTTATCAACCACTTATAAATATTCTTTGCTGTGTTATTGCACCAAATATATTCCGGCCTGGAGGAAACACTATCATAATTTTTCATCATGAATGGATTGAAGTGATTTGCAGACACCCCCCTCTGCTCTGCGGATTTCTCTCAGATTCAGATTGAGGGTCACAGAGGAGAAGAGAGGAGAGAAAGCGGCGTTTTGTGCATCTCACTCTAAAGTTGGGGTCACTGAGGGGCAGGGTGGCCTCCAACAGAATGGCCTGAGAGCTGGGAAACTGCAGGTCAGACAGGAGGGACAGTTCAAGATAACCTGCGGTCCACTGCTTCAGAAATGAACGACATTAATTTAATGTGATGAGAAATAAATAAAGAACAGTTATTAGATGAAAAGCAACCATCCCTGGGCCCATTTTTAGATTTCCTTCACGACTGAGGGTTTAGAGTAATCCTCCTTTCCACTTCTCTCTGAACTTGAACTCATCCTTGAGAAGGGAAAATGTAATCCTCCTTTATTCTTGCCTCAATCACCTTTTGTCCCACATGAATAAAGCTTTAAACATCCTTCTTCTATTCCCCTTATCCACCGTTATCTGTCTGTCTGTCATTGCTGATGTCTTACACCTTTTTCTTATCTCCATTAAGTACGTTTACACGGTGAACATCTTGATTCCCTACAGTGAAAACATAGAGAGTGATATTACCTTCTCCAGTTGTTCTATGCAGATGGTGTGGGCGACTATCTTACAGGCGGCGCACTTCTTTCGACTGTAAGACTTTTGCTGGAAAGAGAATTAAAAAAGAGAGAGAGAGGGAACATGAGAATTTTTACGTAAGAAAACAGAAAACCACAGGGACAAGAACTAAGAACATAATCGTTTTATGAGTTTAATTAGTTTTATGATCTGATGATTTTTAAAATGAAAGCAATCGCAGTCGTACAATCTCTCACCACTTGGGGTCAGTATTGTACTGTAAAAGAAGGATGTTGAAAGCACCACAGAGAGAATTGATATGACATAATGGTTTTTGGAGGTCATTTTTTTAAATTATTAAATCTATCTTTTTATTAGGTCTTGACTTTGTCTGGTCCTCTCAAGGAAAAGGTTGTGAGGGTTGTCTTGGCTTGATGGCTTCAGGCCATTGTCGGGACAAAAGCTGATCTGTCACCACATTCTCACGTCATGTTCTCTCTTTGTGTTTGACTGCATTCAACCCCTCCTAAGTTCTGACCAGTCTCCCTGTCCCTGCTGCTAAAAACCCCCCCAATGGCATGATTGTGCGCCCTTCATGCTCCACGACGGGGTTGGTCTCAGCCAGACCTATTTGTTGGAGTTATATTTGTGTCCTTTTTCCTCATGAGACGTTTAAATACTGTTGGCTTCAAACATTCTCTAATAAAAAACACCTTACCAGACCCATCCGTTCCAAATAATTATCTACCAAATGTGAAGCTGCTGCATTTATCCTGAATATCCAGTTTTCTCAGAGCCCCCTCTTGGACAAATTTATTGTTTAGAGTCCACTCTCCTGAGGGTGACAAATTATCTGTTCTTATCTTCGTTATTTTAATTCCTTCAAAACTCTCAACTGCCTTTAACAGTCAACCATCGTAAGGACCACCCTTCAATGGTTTGAGTTGTAAATCCAACATGCTACTTGATACTCTGATAAACACACATTATCCTTAACACACTGGCAAATCATTGTAACTTGCCAAATACTGTGTTGTTGAAACACAAAGGGGGAGAGACAAAGGGGGAGGAGGGGAACAGGGAAAATAAGAGGGAGATACTAACCAGTGCTTTGGCAATACAATGTTGTTCTCCCACGTAACAGTAATCTCCGGACGCATTCGTCTCAAACCAGATATGATCTCCATACACAGCTGATTCCTAAAGTGACAAACACAGAGGTTTCAGGGGAGCAAAGAAAATGGAAAATCATGTCCGTCACAAAACATGAGAAGCTTCATTCCAAGACTTACAGTCCAGTCCAGAGTACTGCGGATACTTGATTCTGAGTCGGTCCTGTTCAGAGATGATGTGCTGGGTTGACAGGGCAGATGGTGCAGGCCAGACTTGGAAATGGCTTTCCTGAAAAACACAAACACATTTTATGTCCTGGAGACAGAAAAGTGTGGAGCCAGGTCTCATGAAAATCTAATCTCCTAGTATGGTGCAGTGCAGGGGAAGGCAGAGACACAAGCATATCAGTAAACTTTGGTTTTCTTGATTTTTAGTAAACAGATTGTGGAATTTGGAACTGCTAACTTCTTTTAGTAAAATAATGAAAATGTATTTGTATGGAAACATTAGATCTGCAGTAATCTTCTACTGATTTTGATTTATGAGAGAACTTGACATGAAACGCCTCTGTATTCATCTTCTGCTCATAGATGCACTGTATAAATGTGTGTGTACTGTAAAGGGCTGTGAATGGTCATCAAGACTAGTAAAGAGCTATATAAATGTATATATTGATAGCATGGGCCAGTTGAACCCACAGATTCCTGTAACCACACAGCTGTAGATTTGTAGGTCTATGTACTTTTGCTCTAAACATTTACAAGAGCAAGTATTGTCTTTTAATTTGCGCTGGAGATATTTTCAGAAACTGGAATGTGGCAGACTGTATTTCATTCCTTTTGTCAAAAGAAACACAAGAGAACATCTTTGAGTCAAACCCTTTCACGTCAGATTTCTAATGTTCTAATCGTTACCATTCCGATGCTTCAGTCTGAAAGAGATTTACTTTTTACACAACAGCATATTTTCCAACTTTCTAAAACTGGATTATAACAAAACGATGACAGATGTGATCGTGTTTCACTCAAAGCATCTTCTCTTAGGTAATTGACCCAGACACAGGCCTTGTGAAAAGGCAAGTGACAAATGTGCAAGTGACAATAAGCAATGACACCAAACCCCCCAAGGAAGTAATGAAGTAGAATATAATTGTGTGCCATTACAGAGAGACATTTCCCCTGAATGATTAAAATTATAACAATGATTTATTGTGCCATTTTAGAAGCTGTGTTGCAAGGGGGGTTGGTAACATTGTTCATTGAGATACCTTTAGGGATTATAATTGTTTTTAAATGAACCCTACCCAATAAAGATATTTTCAGTTTACTCCAGTTATGTAAAGGGGACTCAGTGATCTGGAGATTAGACTGTCGGCAATTTCCTAATGTTGTGTACATGTTTAATACCCAGGTGAACCATACCTATGACGGACCGTTTTAACAGCAGCCTGTTTCCAAGAGGAACCTCTGATTAGTGCTTTTTGTTGTGAAACAAGATATATGGGACAGTTTTAAAATAAAAAAACCATTGTCAAGGGGATGGTTTGCAGGTTGTGTGGAGACCAACTATATATTACCCACATATAAAAGCAATTCATGCTCCTAGTAGCCCCTTTGTTGAATATCACAAGACCACGAACCTCCAGGGCATTCTCTAAATAAGAGCGGAGAGCAGGCATTGCTGTTATGTGCCTGTGCTGTATAATTACACACCGGGTCTGTAAATAATTATGAAAATAACTGTGGTCGAAGAACTTCTCTCTGTCTGGTAAGAAAGTCATGGTAAGACCATCATCCGGAAACCCTGAAAGGCAAATATAAATGGGCAAATGGTTGTATTTTTTCATTTATGAAAAAAGGTGAAAAACTGTTTGCATTCACCTGCTTGCACAAAAATGTAAAACTGTCACATGGTGCTGCTTTTTTAATATGAAATATAATAATACCGGGATGGAGACCATTCTTCCCATAATGCCCATCACCTCCACTAGTATGCACAGCACATTACTGAATTCTTTGAAGAGATATGATGGATGATCAGCAGCAACAGGAGCCACATCTAATACCTTTTATAGCATTATTGACCCTCATTCTGTTTCAAGCAGAATCAGTAGGGGAAATAATGAACACTTCAACTGTTGAAGGGATTTGCTCATACTTGTGTGTAAAAACTTCCTCTTATGGTGATTTACAGTTCCTAATAGAAGTTCCAAAATTTGCCCTTTTCCTGAATATATTTCAGTATGAATTGCCAACCTGCTAAGACATAGTGATTCCATCTGATTTGGTTTTTGTTCTATTGTCACAAGGGGATGCACAGCATTACGGTCAAATATTCTATTTTGAAGTTTTAACATGTCATCAGCTGACAAGCATGGATGTGACAGATCTGCTTTTGATTATAAGATAACTTGACATTTCTGCCTGTTGGCGACAATACGGGGAAAGTCAGGGGGTCACCACTAACAGAATATGGGCAATGTATACCCGCAAGAAATTCCACTGAAATTTGGGTTTTAGTTTTCAGGATAATTTACAGAAATACAGAGTCCACCTCGAGGTCATTTATATATCCAATACAGCAAAACGACCAGATACTTCCCTGACTGGCAAGATCAAATCAAAGAAATACTTTTTTATTGAAATGGAGATATCAGTTTGACAAACAAATGCCTCTCAGCACCAATGTGTACAAGGAGAATCTGATCCCAAATCAAGATAAAGACAGTCGTCAATATACTGTGTCCTTATTCAGGGGATGTGTCCTTTGCAGGCTGCGTTTGAAGACTGGTTGCATCACTGTGGCGCAACTAGGCTATCCCATTTTGAAGCCTCCTTCAATATGTAACATTCACTGCGTATTGGCGATGAAGCTAAGGAGCTAGCTAAGAAGTAAGTACTGCTCAAAGTTACTTACAATGCAATGATAAGACCAAGACAAGATGGTGCCATAAATAAGAAATCCCTAGGACCAGACCACACTGTATCATTTCTACTAGACTACTTGGTCTATGCAGGCTACATCCTCGTAGACTGACAAGACCATGAATTAGGACAATAATTTTAAATCAGAAGGTGTCAAATTACACAGTGTATATGTACATGCGTGTGTATTACATACGACAGGAAGTTCTCCCATGTATCCAGATAAGGATCGTAGTATATGGTTCCCTTGTGTCCCCCAATAGGTGAAGAACAGCTTTTATGCAGCGTAGACCCAGAGGAGGTCACATCTGTCTCAGCAGCCCCAGGATCAGAGCTCAGGCCTGCTGAGGCCAGCTGACCCAGACTGGGGCTGGTCGTGGAGGTCTGGATTGGTTTATTTGAAGTCTGGTAAGGTTGACTAGAACTCCGTCGATTATATCGACCATAAACTCCATAACCAGTTTCACTGTTGTGAAACACAGAGTCTGCTGGGAGGAGGTGGGAGGAGTTTCGTCTGAGACAGCGAGGAGGGCGGAGCAAGGGGCGGTGTTTAATGTTTTTTATAGTGACACCTTGGGTTAGATGCATTTGAGTTCCTGTTGCATTTGAATTCCTGTTGTCCACTTCTTCATCGCTCTGTTCTTCTCCATCTGACTCAGAGAAGGAGCACAGGCAAATATCCAGCTCCTCCTCTTCCTCTTCCTTCTGTTTTACTCCTCTTCCCATCTGGACCACACTTGCAAGTAACATAGAGGATCCAAGTAAATGAGGTTCAATGGATTTGACTTTAGATGGACGTCGATATCGCAGCGGTAACCCATGATGTACGCAGGAGGCGCTTCCAGAGGCTCGGTGAGCATGGTGAGGTTTATGATGAATTGCTCTTCTTCCTCTCTTTATAGCTGCATCTCCTCTCTCTGCTTCTTTTCCAGAATCTCCAAATGTTTCACTGCTGTTTGTCAATCCCAGCTCTATAACTGATCGCCGCCTCTGCCCACTGGCCACCAGTGAGCCAACACTGGGGCGCCTGCGCTGGTCAGCACAAACTGGAGGTAAACCAACAGAGGAACGTCTGGACTGTGCTAATGCTACAGAGGGCAGACCAACACTAGAGCGCCTCCTGGCTTTACTGGTCTGAACAGCAGGACCAGGCTGACGTACTGCGGGGCGCTCTGGTCTTTTTCGGCGATAACCAAAACGCCGTTGGAAGAAGAAATCCATCATGACTTGCTGCAATGTGGACGTTATTAAAAATGTGCCAATCTCCTGTCCAAATTAAAGGTTAACAGTCACATGTAATTTCAGATGATGTTCATGTAACCATGTGACAGCAGATGGTATCCATGACAACTGGGTTTTGTCCATGCAAGCCAGTATCAGACGATGGTCCAGCATCTGCTGTTCACCTGCTAGTCCACCTCCTCTCCTTGTCTCCAGTCATCCTGTAGAAATGCTGAAGGGGCAAGTAGGCTGAGTTGTAAATTAAATCGATGTTGTTCCATAATGATGACATCAACAAAGAACTGTTAGTACATAGCTTACTCATACAATAAATACTTCCTTCACATGTATAACAAATGAATTACTACTAACAATTCCATAAATAAAATCATTTTTTATCTAGAATCAATGGATCACTGATGCAGTGCTGCTTTCTTCATAGTCACTCAAGCCATTGAAACGTCACTGGTTCCCTCATTCACAGTTTGATAGATTGGTTCTGTGGTTCCTCCTACAGAGAACAAAAGATACAGATAAACTATATACTTTCAAACTTCTATTGAGGGAGGTTGGGATCCCACTGATGTGTGAAGTAATCACTCGATGTGTAATTCTGAAACAAGTGTTCAATGATCGCAAAGATTTTTTTCCCATGATGATGAACGACTCATAAACTGATATAGTTTCTATAGATCTGTGATCTTGGCTCTTTGTGCTGAATCTCAACCAACAGACACAGTACTGAGTTCATAGGTCTCTATTAGTTTCTGTTGGACTAGACTCAACCAGTCATGCCCTCATTTCTTTTATTTTTCCAGGATTCAAATGATAAAAAGGAAATTTCCTCTCTAGGTAAATCTTTCGCTCTGAGCCCTGAGGTATCTGTTGAACCAGATTTTGCTGAGTCTAAAGTATCATGTTATGCTTTCACTTGCAAACACTTGAGCTGAAGGTAAATTGAGAAAGCATTCTATCAGGAAAAAAACTCAAAAAGATTTGAACTCTGTAGTGTCAAGTTACACCAAGGCCAAGGATATAACTGCAGAGAACGGGTACATCACTCTATTCAAAGATTTTGACAAAAGATATGGTTTTCATCTTCTCTTCATTCAGCAATAACAGCTGAGTGATGTAAAAATAATT